GCTCTCAGGATTGCGCTGTTTCCTGACGCGGGCGCTCCAGACCCATCGCCATTTTGAATCCCCCCTTTTTTTCCTTTTTGTCTTTTTTTACTGACTGGTAACGGGATCGCAACCCTCGGTGTCACTCCCGTTCCGGGGACCGGCAACGGGATCGCAACCCTTGGTGTTGTGCCTGCACCGCGCTCAGCCAGTGAGCGAGAACCGGTCTCCACATGGGATCCGAACCCTCGGCGGGAGCGCCGCTGCGCTCCCAAGCAGCGCACTCTCCAGTGCACCACCGGGCCATCCCTACTCTGGATTTTTTAACTAATTAGAACATCTTATAACCATTTAACTTTGTTTCAAGGAGAGAGTTTGGAAATTTTTGATCAATCTATACTCTGAAGAAGTTAAATGACTTTTAAGTAATTTTCTATTTCCATGTTATATTTTATATTTAAATTTGTTTTCCGTATTAGAGTTCTTATAGGATTTTTGCCCGAAATTTTTTCAGTTAATATTGTACCATCTAGAAAAACAAGGAGAAAGACTTAAAGTACCAGGACTTATAATTAAAAAATTCCCCATTTCCTCAGTAGTAGATGCCTTCTATTCACACAGTTGTTTGTGGACTGTGTTAGATTGAGGCTATAAATGTTAGGGAGAGTTGGGAGAGAATTGTTCAAGATTGAAATTCCAAAGCATTTTAGAAACAGCACATTTCTTTTGTTTTTCATTTTCAGAAGATTCTATGCCTACGCCTGATGAAGTAAGCATGCTAACAGCAATTGCACTCTTCCTGTGGTCTGCTAGTAGTGAAATAATAGGAGTCCAGTCATTACAGAATGGCTGCATGAACAGATTTAAAAATGCATTAAATTCATGTGACCCATGGGTAAGTTACTCTCTAAATAATTAAACATAGAGATCAACATCCTACTTTATCAGGAACATTTCAGATTGATTCATTAAAATATGTGATACATATAATGAAAACGTAAGTATTTGCAGTATGGCTTTTTAAAACTGGAGGAGATCACTGGGTTTAAGCACTAGGAGAGACGTGCGTGTTTATTCACATATGCAGAAACTTTCCAATATCTAAAATATTTGATTAACTATGGGCCATACTGGTAAAGGCTTTACATGAATCTATGATTATATTTCCAATGTTTTTTTAAATAACACCAAGGACATTAAAGGATAAATTTACATTATTACTTGATTTAATGAACCTATTGGAAACTCTTGTTTGTCTAGAAAATAAATTTTATTGTTTTACAATGTCAAAGTCTAAACTAACAATTGATTCTCAAACCTGCTGCACAGAGGGAAAAAAAAAGCAGTTAGAAACATTCCTAGATTCTACTACTATTTCCTGAATCAGAGTCTCCAGATTTGTGGCTCAGGGATCTGTTTTTCTGAAATGTTCCTCAGGCATTTCTGATGTCCAGCAAGGCTAGGCAACTTGTATTCTACCAAAGCACTAAAACAGTTTTATTCCATTATTTGTCCCATATATTGATAGGCCTTTCTTTCTTTTTTTTTTTTCTAATTTTTTTTTCCTTTTTGTCTTTTTTCGTGACCGGTAACAGGATCGCAACCCTCAGTGTCG